TATATATATATATATATATTTGTAGCTGCTTTATGTTTGCTCTAATCTAGTTTTGCTATTTGCCTTAGGCAGCTGTCACACTATTTTTTAGTTTACTTACACCAATCAAGAGACACGATTATGTCTCGTGCCACTAGATAGACAGATTACTCATGTGCTATTATATTTTTTGCAATAAAATTATAATATTGATTTACATAGTCCTAATTGTTAAATTAGGAACTATAAAATTTAATTTGATAATGAATAAATAAATTATATTTTTGCATATGTACAGAATAAATTTGTGTACTTGTGCTTTATCTCTTGATATACAGATTGTTGAAAAGATGTTACTTAAACTTTATTAGCTTATGACAATGGTCCCAAATTGTCAATACTTTACACTGTATTCTTTTGGTTATACATACTTGAATAAATTATGCATAATGTGCATTGGATTGAATATTTTGTATTATTATGTAGTTAAACTGTATCAATTATAATATATTATAATCAATATATAATATCTGAATTATATAGTAACCTATTAAATTACTATAGAAAGATGGGATATGTATATATATATTTTTTGTCTATTGCATTGTAGAATGTCAGGGCAAAGTGGTGGACATCGAGTGCGGTTGGCCAAGCTTAATGAGCAATTGACATGCAAATTGTGTGGTGGATATTTTATCGATGCCACTACCATTATAGAATGTTTACACTCATGTATGGTATTTCTCTGCAATGTTATATATAACATTGCATATGTTAATTTGTACAATAGCTAATACCTTAACTTAAGATTGAGATTTTAAATGTTTCTTTACAGTTTGCAGAAGTTGCATTGTTAAATATTTGGAGAATAACAAATATTGCCCAATCTGCGAAGTACAGGTTCACAAAAGTAGGCCGTTGTTAAATATACGACCTGATCATACATTACAAGATATTGTATATAAACTGGTACCTGGATGTTACCAAAGTATGCTTCTTCTTTAACAAGAAAGAAAAATCTACCTCTTTATTGCATATTATGACATGCATTAACAGTTAACGTATAAACATTTTTTTCAGATGAAATGCGATGTCGAAGAGAATTTTACGCGAAGCATCCAGAAATATGTGGTCAGACGATGTCTCCGGAAGCCCGTGGAGAACCTATAGAATCACATATATATTCCCCAGATGAATCTCTTAGCTTGTCCTTGGAATACTTTAATCCTCATACAAAGGATTTAAATGAAGTGAATGCTATTAAGGATGGCACGCAAAAACCTATTTTAAGGCGATACTTTCGGTGTCCAGCAGCAGTTACAATATTCCATTTACAAAAATTAATAAGAGCCAAATATGGACTTGGTGATGCAAATAGAGTGGATATTATGTACAAAGAGGAACAGTTATGCAGTAGTTATTCATTAATGGATATTATGTACATTTATCATTGGAGGCGGGTAAGTGTTGTTTAATTGATTTAATATTTAATTCAATGTGCACATATGTAAATATATTTACACATAGTAACACAGCATATCTATTGCATTACAGAAAGTTCCACTACATTTAAGCTATAGGATATTTGAATCATCTTTAAAACGTATGAAATTGTCGGAAGACAATGCAAATTACAAAAAATCTTTAAAAGATGCTGGTATTGATTCTATAGAGTTAAAAGATGAGAAATCGGTGAAACGCGAGTGGAAAGAGGTGCAATTGAAAATATCGGAAACTGGTGTGATGAGTATAACTGATATATCAAGTACAGTACACAAAAGAGATGGGGGGATCGAGAATTTGCAAGATGAAAAATCTTCGGAACAAACTATCACTTCCATTGTAGAAGTGAACAAAACAGATTCATTGATAGAAAATTGCGATGTGTCTAACTCATCTTCGGTAGAAATAATGCAATCTACTGTGGCCATCGACACGCAAATAACGAAAAATCCAATATTTCCCAACTCGAGTAATGCATTTCTCGCTACGAGTGACGTTAAGATTATAACAAGATCGACAACAGAGAATTCATCGATTAAGAATTGCACGTCGCCAAGTACTCAACACAATGGGAATACCGCGAAACAGGGAAATGAAACGGGAAATCGCACCGTTCCACCAAAGTTACAACAAGACGCGCGTGAAGTAAAAGGCCGCAATCAAAACGCTAATGTCGAAGATAAACCAGGGCAGAAAACTATTAATCAATCAGTAACGCAATTGGCGGAAGAGAGCGCAAATATTGTTGAAAATACCGATGGGACGAAAAAATTATCGATAAATAATAATAACAATAGTACAGATTTCAAGGCTGAAACTCCGAAGGAATGCGTAAAGAACACAAGCGTAGAAGCGAAAACGGGGAATGCCGGGTCGAAAATCGACGCGTTAAGCGTAAAACTGCAGTTTCAACCGAAAATGGGCCAAGTCAATAACACTTATTCCAAGAAAGCACCAAAGGAAAAACGCGCGATTCTTCAGCAGGGTACGAAGAAATCCGACGTAAGATCATCTACCGAGAGTACAAAACTTTCTGATACAAAGACGCGAACGAGTTGCGGAAATACAACGGCTAAAATATCAGTCTCATGTTCTACGGCGATCTCTCCGCAAAAATCGGTCGTATCCGCGA